GCTTAGTATCAGCGGGTTTGGAGAGTTCGGGATGGCTAGGGTGGTTGTGGTTGCAGGGGTTTTGACTCCATGGTCAATGAGTCGTTGTGCCAATCGTTTGGCACTGTCGAAGGTAGCGGGGTTTGATGCTAGAACATTCCCCTGATACGGAGGCACAAGCCCCCATATGTATCTTTCGATCTTTTTCCCTTCAGTGGGAACCATATTAGGGCAGAGGGCCACCAGTTCGCTGAATCTGGCGGTGTAAGCGACAATGTTGGTGCCCTTCATGGTCAGGCTCCAAAGCTCCTGCTCTAGTTTCTGGATCTCGCCCCTCGGGCAGTATTCCTCAATCATGAGGTCTTTCATCGTTTCCCAGCCTATGTCGTTGGCTACGACGAGAGTTAGAGATTTAACGTGGCCGTTCCACCACGTCAGGGCCTTTCCTTCAAAGGTGCATGCGGCATATTTCACTTTGCTCGCAGCAGGGCATGAACATATTTCGAAGACCGCTTCAGTCTTCTCGAACCATTGCGAGAGAGCAATGACTCCGCCGGTCCCATGAAAGGACTTCGGCTTGCAGTTGGTGAAATCCTTGTAAGAGCACTCTCTCGAGCGCACAGGGGTTTCAACCGGGATTGATTCCACAGGGGTTCCACCTCTGCTGGCATCAGAAGAGTGATACTGAGCCATGGCAGTTGCCACTGCTGCAGCTACGGCAGCATTTAGGGCTGCAGTATCGATGACCGGAGGCGGAGGAGGTGGTGGTGCAGGATTATTCCTGGGAGATTTGCGAGGAGGCATCTTTCAGCTATAAGTTTATAAAGGTAAGAAAAATGGTAAGAATCATTTTGTAAGCAACGTGAGAGTGATATATGGACTAACTAACCATAGCCCAACAGTTGAATGAGTGTTTGAAATCACAACAAGAAATATTAGTAGGAAAACACAAGTGTATAGATTTTTCCCACAATTTAGATAGATTTCAATAATACTGGTATTACTGATGTAATAAGTTCAAGGAAAATCGACCTAACAGTAGGTCTTACATCATACCATATAGAAAAGTTTGACAGTTCTTAGATTCCTAATTAGAGTACTGAAAGTTAGGAATATTTTACAGACAAGTGCTACTTAGAGCACAGATGTTAAAGGCTAATCCTTAACCCTAAAGATAATGATGTACTAGACATCATCTAACGGCGATGAATATTCCTCGGGAGAACCCTAAGGTCTCTCATTTGACGGACCACCTCTTGAAGGTGTTGCTCATGAGCACTTTGACGAGCTCGGAGTTCCATGACTTCAGCTTGAGAGGCAACCAGATGTTGCTGTAGGGTTTCATTGGTTCTCCGGGTCCGTTCCATGTCTTCTTCAAGACGGCGGATGCGGACTGTGTTGACACCTGAGTTGGCATCAATCTCCATGACCCGGTCGATGGCTGCTCTACCTTGCTCGACATTACGAGCTATTCTGCGGATAATGACAGGCAGGGCTCGGTCAGCAGAGCCACCATTGCTGACGTTGTAAAAGCTTCGGTCCCCAAAGTATGGTAAGGGTTGACCCTGTTCATCACTCCAACGATTCAAGTTGTTTGCCCATAAGGGAGTAGGACCTGGAAAAGCTGGTCGAGGGTTGTTGTTCGGGGGTTGACCTACGAGCGGTAGGTTGTTGACTTCAGGCTCAGAGTCTGATCCATCTGAGAAGCCTTCAGCTTGATGATCATCCAACGGAATTTGGTGTTCATTGTCAGACTCTGCTTCGAGCATTCCTATGTTGCCTTCATTTGGAAAGTACGGGTCGTCGTGATGGAATCCAGCCATTTAAATCTACGCGAGAAGAGAGGTATAAAGATATAGTATGTATGTAGTTAATAGCACAAAATACACCTATAGTATTTTAAGTTTAAGTTCCACTGATCTTTTTGTGGCATTGTTGGTAAGTTTTTAGACTTGTTAACACATCACAACTATTCTAGGGCATATGCTAATCACTCCTCGGACCAGCATAGTTGATCAGGCTATGCCATTCCCAGGACTGACCATACATCCCCTAGCTTACCTGTGATATTTAACAATCGTAATACTCTTGTTCTTGTCGTTGTGACACTGGTTTTAGTATGAATGCAGACTAGTATACTTAATTAACTATTTTAGTATTTAAAGTATAGACTCTTGGTCAGAGTGTTTTAATCCCAAATGGGTTTATAGTTTAGTATATCTTTTATGGGTTGATATACTTGCTTCACTATAAACAATGCTCTGATACCAATCTGTCACACCCCAAAACCAAGAATGGCGGAAACGTTCTGGGGCGGAGGACGTCATGTAAAGTATCACAACACAGTAAATGTAAATAAGCAAACAACATCATCCATTGCATTAAATATAAAATTTTAATACAAGCGTGTTCCGTACAGTTTTAGACACCAAAAATATAATGTAAATCAAAATAGTATGATGAGTCTTGAATGCGCTCCATCTTCTCAAAAGCTAGCATCGGTACCTGTCTACTGATGACCTGAGAATACAAGTTATTTTGAAAGAGTTTATCAGCATTAAGCTGGTGAATTCATAAGTATTTTAGTGTCGAGGTTTGTTATCAAAACGTTTGAACCTGTCGCAAGTATGAGTTGTAAATGTATGTAAGTGTTTGTAAAAGTTTGAATCTCTCAGAAAAACCTATATTTTCTGTTAAAGTAGCCCTCTACCAAGGCTTAACTGTTTTGTATGCTCGTTTGATGTAAAAGTGTGTAATTTCCCAAGTGTAACTATCATTTAACAAAATATAGTTTGTACATTAAAGTTTAAGTGAGGTTATCACCAAAATGTAATGGGTAAATTATTGTAGTACGGTAGTTTTGTTTTATATGAACTACTGCTGTACTAACTACCTTAAACCGGGTTTATATTAAGGTATCATGTGATAAATTGCACCATACTATCGACTGGTAACATCGACAACGTATAGTCGAAAAATAAGGTATGACGTTTGGCACCCGCAGACCTGTCGGTCCCACTGTAGCTAGCAGCGAGGTGTAGGATAGTCAATCCAGTATAGATCTATACGCAAACTCACGCTCTCCCTCCAAGAGACTCTGGCTACAACTCGGGTCATGTCAATTAAGACATGCTCCCATACAGTGGATCACAATTGTTAACGTATTCGTGTATATGCAATATAATGTTACTTGTTCTAGTATCGTTGTATATGTTCTCTTAGTAATAAGTATTGACTCCTGAATGAACTGACTCGTTGATCTAGAAATTGTAGTAGTATGATCCCGTGTTACCCGATGGTAACTTACTAACGAGGTGCTGATAAGTATGAATATGGAAGTACTTTTATGTCAATACATGTATATATGATATATAACTAATATTGAAACGACCCTCGGATGGTCACCCGAAATTCCACCAGACCACATCCAAATCGAGGAAAAGGAAATAGGACAGGTGGCTTTCCTAAGCCCTTTAAACATTATTTATACAGCTATACATATATGGGCATGCAAATTTATAGGTAGTAAAACAAAGTTTACAATAAAGCATTTGATAAGTAAAAGAGTTTGTAAAACATTTTGAAGTAAAACAGTTTGAACAGTGATAAAATCATTGGTTTCCTAGTTATTAATCACATGTGATTAATGCAATCACATGTGATCGAAGCAATAACTATAAGTGTTTAACTGTATTCCCCCCCCCCATAAAGTATTTAAAACATTTAAAAGCATTTCAAAGGTTGAATAAAGGGGTATGAACTCACTTGGAAGTTTGAAGATAGCGAGATCGAAAACCGGGCAGAGTTTCGTCTCGGGAAACGGATTTTTTCGGGATTCTCGGGAATCTCGGGAGTAAAATCGACCCTCGGGACTTGAGCAAAAAGACCAGAGCTTCGGGTTTGAACGGGCACGGAAATCGAGGCAAGATCGTGAGAGAAAGAGAGAAAATGAACAAATTTTTCGGAAAGGCTCGCATCCCTTTTATAGGGGTGCTGAACCGCCTCCGAACGCGGGGCGTACGGGCGTACGCAGCGCGTACCCGTACGTCATCGCTTACGTATTTCGGATGGAGCGGGTCGGGTAGCTTCGCATAGGGCGACGTGGACGATCCGAGGCCGTGCCCTCGAGTACGCGGGGCGTACGAGGGTACGCGGCGCGTACCTCGGCCCTAGGCTGACTCCTCTTCGGATAATACCGAATTTTTAATAAAATTTATATATAAATTATTTATCAAACTTCAAAAATTCATATCTCCTTCATACGAACTCCGTTTTCGACGTTCTTTATATCCCCGCGAAGGTGAGACTACGATCTACAACTTTCGTTTAGATTCCGTTGGCAAATTCCGAAATTATTTTTATTATTTATTTATTAAAATGACGTGATTAAGGAATCTCTTTAAAAATTCATAACTTTGTTATCTGACGTCGGTTTTTGCCAGACTTTTTACCGTTGAAATACCATTGTCGAGACCTTCGATTCTCGTTTAGGTCATTTCGGCCAAATGTCGCTCGATCTCCGTTTCGAGTTTTTAGTTGTCTGTTGCTAAGTTGAACTTGGAAAAATCATAACTTCAATATACGAAGTCGGATTTGGGAGTTCTTTTTACGTACGATCATGGTTTAATGATATTTAAACATAGAAGAATTTAAATAGAAACTTTTTGGACATTTTATTATTAAAGTTAATTTTATTAACTCAAAAATGTTTACAATACCTGGCCTATTAGGCCATTACAAATAGTTGAAATGTCGGGTTGTCACAGAAGGAAAAGAAATGAAAACTAAAAATGGACAATTATACCCTTGTCACCTTTTTTCTATAATTCCAAACAGATAATTTCAATAAACCCAAACCAAAAATAACATACATGTATTAATAATCAAACACATTCATAAGTAACCAATTTAAAGTCAATGCAAGAATAATCAAACGAGTTCCAATGTATGAGCTCAAACCAAAAACCAAAAACTATGAAGTCAAACTGATAAAAAATCACAAAACCATCATCCTAAGTACTTCATTTACTTGCCTCCATCATTTTTTTCAGCAAACTTTTTCGTATTTTAAATGGAACTCTAAATAATGTCCCGGCATCAGATTGATTTCGTGACAAAAACATGAGAGCTTCTGCTAATTCATCGGGTTCCAAATCCATTGGCTCTAACTCTTTATAAATTTCATCACCAGTATAAACCCGATGATGAGAGTTTTCGAAGATTTTGTTACCCTCCCTCATAGCAGAAGCCATGTCTTTAACTGCACTCATAATAACCTTTTCAAATGATTCAGGTTCAGCTTCAAGTTCATCTTCAACTTCAATTTCATGTTTCCTTTTTTTACTTTTGTACTTCTTAGAACTTGAATTTTGCACCGGTGAAAAGCATGTAGGAGATAACACTTGAATATCATCAAGACCATCATCATCATCATAATCTTCATTATTTGTTTGTTGTTTCTCAAGTGTTATGTCATTGCTTTCTAGTAACTGATCCACTTCTTCAATTGTTTCTACTTTGATATCCCCAGTCCTTTTCAATCGAGCATTCTTCTCTTTCGGGGTTTCAGCATGTACCCCTGAAGCCCTGTCTTTCGCAAACAAAGCTATCATTTCATTGTAGTTTGGTATTTTTTTGGTCTTCAATGAAATTGCATCTGGCTTTGACTGTAACACACAATCCCAAATACAAATATTGTTAAGAAAGATAACATAAATGTATACAAACTAAGTAACATGCAATAAAAGAAACTTACATTAATTAAGTTGGCCCACACTTCCTCGTCCGCTTCAATTAGTTGTGTTTCAGAATTCCAACCGAACCCACTCAATGAAGTTCCGCGGAACATGTCATACCACTGCGAGAAACCTAATTTTAAAGTTTTCAAACGATTCTTTAAATGATTTTTTGTTAAAGTCTTCCCAAACTTTTGATTAAGCTCCTCCACCATGTTGTTGTACGCTTGTGGGATGAAGCTCCCACTAATCCTTAATCCTTTCTCATCTTGTGTCATCATAGATTGAATAAAACAATAATCCATCCAATCTGTCCATTTTAGTTGTTCTTTCTTTGTAACTTGTTCTTCCATCATCATTTTGACCTGCATAACATCATAAATAAACAAATCATGCATTGATAACATAATAAATACATACTTCGATGATGTACAAATAATGAGTAAATAACATGCTCAAAAAGATAAATAGCACAAATAAAGTCAAAACACTAACAATTCATACAAAATCAAGTCAAACATAAAAGATCCATACAAAATCAAATTGAAATGCTTTAATAAAAACTAGTAGCTACATTGACATATCTATCTCATGGTTTCGATTTGGCAAGTAATCAGTCCACATTTGATTTGCAATTAAGTTCCTCATTTTCTCTGCTGCAGCATTACCCTCACTTGTCTCTCTTATATTATGGCGCATTTCCTCTCTTGGTTCATTTAACATCTCCTGTAGGACCTCATCTTCCAGATTTTTGTCTCAATCTTCTTCTAACAAAAAGTTATGTAAAATACAACATGCCAAGAAAATGTCTGATTGTGTTTCACAAGAATAAAAAGGCTCTTGTGTACTTCTAATGATAGGAAACCTTCTCTTTAGAACACCGAATGCCCGTTCTATAGCGTTACGTAATGAAGCATGGTGGAGATTAAACAACTCTTTTGCATTCTCAGGGGCCCGAGCAGAATACTCTTTCAAATGATATCTGACACCACGATATGGTGCCATTAGTGTAGTTGTATGAGGCAAACCAACATCTACCAAATAGTATCGTCCTACAAATAAGTTGTAGTTAGTTATGTATTAAAAATTAGATTACATGTAAGAGTAATTTTGGTATTAAAAACTAACCATTTGGAATTACTAGTTTATCTTCTCTAGTGAGTGCATTCTTTAGTATCCTTGAGTCTGATGCTGTACCCTCCCAGCCACTGAAAATGTACGTAAACTTTAAATCAAACGTACAAGCAGCTAAGACATTTATCGTAGGGTAGCCCTTGCGACCACGATATCTAGGGGCATCTTTGTTAGGTACTTTCACTCGAACATGTGTCCCGTCAATTGCACCTACACAGTTCTTGAAGTAAGGATAAAATCGTTTTTTTTTCTTGAATTTCTTTTTGTACAACATCACCTTTCGGTTGTTGAATATAATGACTTTCCAGTGATATAATTGCTCGGAGAACTCTATGGAAGCACCTACTTGTACTTGACTTAGAGCGACGATATAGCCAAGAGACAAATCGATTTCTAAAATCATTGCCGACAATGTGCAAAAATCTTGCAACATGTTCTTCAACGGACATGCGTTGAGTAGCTCGAAGACCACCAACTTGTTGTAAGATAGTGCACAATTTCTTAAAAGCCTGCTCACTCATACGGATAAGTTCACGACATTGACCACCGTTTGAAAGGTCGTGTAGCAATTGTTCACGTATACGTCGCTGTTTTAAAATAAGTTTCCTAGAAGGTAATTTGGGACGATTTGTGTTGGCAACGGCACGATGTGTCAGAATGGCCAACAACAAGCAAATCAGATGAACTACTTGCCTTTGCCTGACTCTCAGAAATTGAGCGGGTGTTTGTAGGTCACTATCCATCGAAGATATTACCTAATTTATGAAAATTATTAAACTTTGAGTTTTCTTTTATAGGTTAGAGAGATATTTAACAACTAGGGTTGGTTAAGGAGCCTATGACTTGAATTTTAGTATTTATTGCAGTAAAGTAGTTTTAAAATTGTGATAGTTAACTCTATATCTAAACAGAGTTACAAAACCATTATAGGACAACATAAGAACATCATCCAATTTCATTTTACTATTTAAAAGCAAATAAATTAAATACCAAAGAATCTTTTGACTACATTAGACAATGTACATCATGAGGACAGACAATAGAGCAAAGCAATCTTCTTCAAACTTGTACACCATGGGATTCGTTGTTTGAACCTCTCCATAGCTATATATCTTGCTACATGGTGATCATATCAAAGGATATATATGTAATTTTACTATTGGCTAGTATATTATGTATGTATATGTTCTGAGTTTTAGTTAACAAATAAAGCCAATTCTTTTTGGGTTTTAAGTGGCATTTTTCTGAGTATTACTGTGGTTTTATGCTAAAATTTACCATAACTATAGAGAAATACATAAAGTTAACAATCTGGAAAACTGAATGATAGTATTAGATAAAAAAAAGTGTTGATTTTGATCAGAAATATCAACATATTATGTGGTTCCTCTGTTTGATTTAAAGGCTTTTAATTTTGACTTAACACATAAAATAAAATGGGGAAGATGATGGCAGATAAGAATCATAATAATAATCATACAAAAGAAATCGATGAAGAGATTGTGTTCTGAATAATGATATCATTTATAAGAAACATAAAGAAGATATCAAAAAAAAAAATGGAACCTGATGTTGGAAGTGAACAACTCAACAGAACGTGAAGAAGGAGGAAGAAGCGTGAAGAAGGAGGAAGCACTGTAGCAACTATTTCGTTTCCTGCGTGTTGCTGCTGTATACGTGATTTTATATGGTTCGAGGGTAATATGGTAATCACGGGATTTTCTATGTATCACTGATTCTCTTCTCTCCAAATCTCTCCAATTTGGGAGGAAGATTAGGAGAGAAAAGATACCTCCAATCTCCTTTCCTTTCTTCCCAATTCATTCCAAAAATTGAACTCGGGAACGCCACTAAATCCGTCTTTCTCTCCAATTCCATTCTTTTCTCTCGACTTCCCTTGTTAATTGCAACTCGGGAACAGGGTGTTAAAGTGTTTCTAGTGGATAGGATACATAAAAATGAGGTCTTAGACGTTGGAATCAAGCCATGCATGAGTTATGAGCTTTTTGAGATAAGAGAGTGGGTGTTTTGGGTTTTTGTGACCTTCTCAGCTATGCAAAGACTGAAAGTCACTGAATTTATGGAGTAAGAACCACTAGGGAGTCCAGATCTAGGATTTGAGTTGATGTCTTAACTGATTAAGACCAAATGAGTAGAAAGAGTGAATCTATAGAGTATGTTGAGCATAATTCATGTACTCCCCACGTACTGCTCCAGTGGCCCCGATGGCCAATTTGGATTCGTGAGTATATTGAGCGTACCAAGAGAGGTACGCCCCACGTAACCTCACGGTGAACTTTTGGGCTAAGTCTCATTTTGGACCTTAAGTGTTGGGCATGGAGTTTGGGCTTGTTGCAATAGAGTTTTGTACCAAATGAATATGCATATGTGCTTTGGGCCCTTGAGTTGAGCTTGCCATTTAGATTTAATATTTAGGCCTTGGGAGATCCCATTTATTATTAGGCCTTGATGGGCCCAATGGGTTTTAGGTTATTAATGGACTGGTTAGTGGACCACCTTATGACCTAATGAGTGAGAGTTTGAACTTAGTTCCTAATTGGGTTAATTATGGATTTGGATCAGAGTTAGAGGCCGGTGCGTAGTAGTAGCGTTTATAGGGGATGTTCATCATCCAAGGTGAGTCTTCTCACTATACTTACCATGGGTGGTATCCTTGTGTCACTGAGTTGTCTTATGTGCTTATATGTATATTGTGAGATTCTGCATTATGTCTTTGTGATTTATGTTGAGTATTATTATTATTATTATTATTATGAGTTTATTGAGTTGGGATCGGAGGGTCCACTCGAGTTTTGGGACCGTAGGGTCCCACTGAGACACATCGACCAAACGGTCTTATCTGAGTTTAGCCATGAGGAGCTACTGAGATATGTGTGGTATTTTGGGGAACTCACTAAGCTTCGTGCTTACCGTGTTATGTGATATGTGTTTCAAGTTGTTCTCAGGACCATAGGATGGCGTCGGCTTGATTATACACACTAGAGAAAGAGTTATATGTCAAGAATCCTGGATTATTAATCAAACAATTATGGAGTTGTGTTGTAAATTAAATAAATGAGATTTTTTTGAAATGTGTTATGAGAATTATGTGCTTTTTAAAATAAAAATTTTGTTTGAAAATTTACGTTGTTACATATTGAGGTTCATCATTTGATAGAACTCTGGTATTTCTATCCTTTTTGGATGATGTTATGGGTTCTCTATGGGTATGTATTAGGGTAATTCATTATATGTATTACCGAGAGGGGTATATGCGATTGGACAAGATAGCATTGGAGCACTTTGTTCGAAGGCCAGGATGATTTGATATAAGTATAGAGCTTCGCGTTACCTTTCTATGGTTATAAAGGACGTCAAAATAAGAGTTAGAATGAAGAAGTTATTCCCGTTTGAAATTTGGTTGGTTTTGGGTTATGTTGAGTACGCTGGGCGTACAGAGGGGAGTACGTTAGGCGTACTGAGGCACCATGAGTATGGTGGGCATACGCAATCAATGCCTAAACCCTATTTTCGTTGCTTGAGCTCTATTTAAGCTCCTTAATTCCCCCAAACCCACTCCATTTGCAGCCTCCAACACCCCTTCCATGAAACCCTAACCCTAGTTGAGCCTTGTATGCTAAAAGAAGGTGTTTTTGAGTGCTTTAGAGTATGCATGGTGTACCATGGAGAAGAAGGAATTTTCTTGGAGAAGTGTTGGTTGCATTGGAGCTTGTAGATTTGGACTTTGTTCACCTTGATCTATCTTCTAGAGGTATAAAGTTTGAATCTTAATGATGAATTTCTTAGATCTAACTAGTTTTGGATGTATGAGCTTTTAGTCATTTTAGTGCATAAAGTTTGGATCTTGAAAGTTTGTGAGCTTGTTATGGATAAAGTTAAAAACTTTATCCATCTAAACATCATTTTGATTCAGATCTGAAAGTTGGAGACTTGTACTTAATGAATTAAGTTGAAAAATATGAACTCTTGGGTCCCTTTGAGACTTAAAGACTAGATCTTGTTTGTTAGGACCATTCTAATGGATAAAGTTGGCAACTTTATCCATTATAAAGCTATTGTGAACTATAAAAATGTGATCTTGGCCCTTCTATCCCTTCCATGCAAGTGTTATGATGTCTTATTGGGTTAAGAACTTAGAGTTTTGGACATTAAACACTTTATAGCCATGCAAAGTCATAAAGTTGGAAACTTTATGACTTAGTAC